GGCCACAGCAATGGTTCCCTGAACCCACCCAGCAATATTGTTAACCTATCCAACTATACTCTTAGCCCAGCAGAAGCAGCTGTCTTACCTCGGGGCCTCTCCTTCTGCCCCTCCACCCCCACGAACATGATACAGTTCTGTGGTGACCTAGAATCCTATTTTCGACATCTCCGACTCAAGGAATATTTCCAACACACCTCTGAACAACATACTAATCCACAGAGACCTCCCTACCAACACTACAAAAAGAAGGATTCTAGGTGGACTCCTCCTGAAGGTCGAGACAGCAGACTGGACTTCTACATAGAGTGCTTCCGCTGACGTGCACGGGCTGAAATTGTGGAAAAGCAGCATCATTTGCCCACAACCTCAGCCGTGCAGAACACAATGCCATCCACAGCCTCAGAAACAACACTGACATCATAATCAAAAAGGCTGACAAAGGAGGTGCTGTTCTCATCATGAATAGGTCGGAATATGAACAAGAGGCTGCTCGGCAGCTCTCCAAAACCACTTTCTACAAGCCATTACCCTCTGATCCCACTGAGAGTTACCAAAAGAAACTACAGCATTTGCTCAAGAAATTCCCTGAAAAAGCACAAGATCAAATCCGCACAGACACACCCCTGGAACCCCGACCTGGGATATTCTATCTACTACCCAAGATTCATAAACCTGGAAATCCTGGGCGCCCCATCATCTCAGGCATTGGCACCCTGACAGCAGGATTGTCTGGCTATGTAGACTCCCTCCTCAGGCCCTATGCTACCAGCACTCCCAGCTACCTTCGAGACACCACTGACTTCCTGAGGAAACTACAATCCATCGGTGATCTTCCTGATAACACCATCCTGGCCACTATGGATGTAGAAGCCCTCTACACCAACATTCCACACAAAGATGGGACTACAAGCCGTCAAGAACACTATCCCCGATAATGTCACGGCTAACCTGGTGGCTGAACTTTGTGACTTTGTCCTTACCCATAACTATTTTACATTTGGGGACAATGTATACCTTCAAATCAGCGGCACTGCTATGGGTACCCGCATGGCCCCACAGTATGCCAACATTTTTATGGCTGACTTAGAACAAGGCTTCTTCAGCTCTCGTCCCCTAACGCCCCTACTCTACTTGTGCTATATTGATGACATCTTCATCATCATCGGGACACATGGAAAAGAAGCCCTCGAGGAATTCCACCATGATTTCAACAATTTCCATCCCACCATCAACCTCAGCCTGGTCCAGTCCACACAAGAGATCCACTTTGTGGACACTACAGTGCTAATAAACGATGGTCACATAAACACCACCCTATACCGGAAACCTACTGTCAGTTATTCCTACCTACATGCCTCCAGCTTTCACCCTGACCACACCACACGATCCATTGTCTGCAGCCAAGCTCTGCGATACAACCGCATTTGCTCCAACCCCTCAGACAGAGACAAACACCTACAAGATCACTATCAAGCATTCTTACAACTACAATACCCACCTGCAGAAGTGAAGAAACAGATTGATAGAGCCAGAAGAGTTCCCAGAAGTCACCTACTACAGGACAGGCCTAACAAAGAAAATAACAGAACGCCACTAGCCGTCACCTTCAGCCCCCAGCTAAAACCCCTCCAACACATTATCAAGGATCTACAACCTATCCTGAAGGATGACCCTACGCTCTTACAAATCTTGGGAGACAGCTTGCCTACAGACAGCCCCCCAACCTGAAGCAAATACTCACCAGCAACCACATACCACACAACAGAACCACTAACCCAGGAACCTATCCTTGCAACAAAGCCCGTTGCCAACTGTGCCCACATATCTATTCAGGGGACACCATCACAGGGCCTAATAACATCAGCCACCCTATCAGAGGCTCGTTCACCTGCACATCCACCAATGTGATATATGCCATCATGTGCCAGCAATGCCATGTACATTGGTCAAACTGGACAGTCTCTACGTAAAAGAATAAATGGACACAAATCAGATGTCAAGAATTATAACATCCATAAACCAGTCGGAGAACACTTCAATCTCTCTGGTCATGCGATTACAGACATGAAAGTTGCGATATTACAACAAAAAAACTTCAAAACCAGACTCCAGCAAGAGACTGTTGAATTGGAATTCATTTGCAAATTGGATACAATTAACTTAGGCTTGAATAGAGACTGGGAGTGGCTAAGTCATTATGCAAGATAACCTATTTCCCCTTGTTTTTTCCTACCCCACCACCCTCCTCAGACGTTATTGTTAAACCCTGGATTTATGCTGGAAATGGCCCACCTTGATTATCATACACAGTGTAAGGAGAGTGATCACTTTAGATAAGCTATTACCAGCAGGAGAGTGGGTGGGGGGAGAGAGAACCTTTTGTAGTGATAAACACCCATTTTTTCATGGTCTGTGTGTATAAAAACATCTTCTGTATTTTCCACAGTATGCACCCGATGAAGTGAGCCGTAGCTCACGAAAGCTTATGCTCAAATAGATTGGTTAGTCTCTAAGGTGCCACAAGTATTCCTTTTCTTTATGTCTAGTCTAGTCACCTATCTGTGTGAGGGAGCTGTGCAAGTTATTCCCTTTGACACTAATGGAGGAAATACTGGACAATATTTTGTGTTTATATAGAACCTTTCATGCCAAAGAATGAGAAAATGATTCACAAATTATATACCAAGAGAACCACAGAAATAAAGCTGCACATGGAGTGGAGAGTGACAGACAAATGGCATAGAGCACAACAGTAGAGGGAAGAAATTTTGACTAAGAATTTTGAGGCAAATTCCTAACTAACTAAGAATATAAACGCATAGTAAATAGGAGCAAGGACACAATCACCTTGACATTTAGTCAAATTAAAACATTAGTTTAAACTAGTTTCAGGTATTATACCTCCTTCGCTATCCACCCTCCAAGTTTTGTTTGTTTTACAATCACATTTTCCTATTTTAAATTCCCTCACCTGATCCTGTATGAAGGATACACACAGACAAAAGGGGAAATAGTGACCGTAATGGCTGTCAAATGTGAAAGCTTAAAAAAAAATCAATTTAAGAAAGTCCACAACAAAAATATTTTTCTAATCTCTGTTAATTACTATAATCCTAGATGTTATTTGCAACAAAAATATGTGAAACATTTCCAGACAGAGTGAGATTTTAAAGTTCACAGTGTCCCTTTATGGCCTCAGTCGAGAGACCTCACACTGTAATCTGTACCGTTCTTGGTCTACTGACCCGACAGCTTGAAAACTCCACTTACTTGCTCATCACTGAGGACCAGAAGTGGAGAATTTGGGGAAGGGGGAGGAAGGAGATACGAATGCATTGCAAGCAACTTATGCAGAAGCCAAGCTTTCATTTAAGAAACATTAATGGCCAGCTTTTGAAAATAGCTGTACTTCTAGTAGCTCCTGGGAACAGCAGCAGAAATATTTGAGTGGGGAACATGTATGTGTGCACGCACTAATCTACATATTCTCCAGCCTCCTTTCTGGGGCCTCCTCTCTATTGAATAGCTGCAGTGCCTACCCCTGCCACCACTCATAGCTTTCCGAAGCACCATCCTGGGAGTTGCTAGGTGCTGAGCACTTATGAAACCAAGTGGTCAGATTTTAGGTGCCCAAACAAGAGCAGAGCTCTCTTGAAAATCTGTCCCTAAGTGTCTAGTCTTTATGGCTGTGAAAATAGCCTTTCAAACATTAACTGAGTGTAAACTGATGCAGTGAGGTCTTACATGAGTCTGAACAGAGACCGTTCCGGTGTCTCTACTGCTACTCACAGTGTCCATGAAAACAGAGTGAAAACTGATCAGAGTTTTGCTGGTTTTCACTTCAGCTATTTAAAAATAGGTGGGCAGCATTGAGCAAGTCAATTTCACTCTGCGACCACTTGGGAAAGCTAGGATTAGTCGCAGAGGCAGGCAACGCAGAGCTATTCACTGGGAAGGAGGACCCAAAGAAGCAGCTAGTAGGGTTGCCAACTTTCTAATCACACAAAACTGAACATCCTTGCCCATCCCCTTCCCATCCCCTTCCCCAAGGCCCTGCCCCGCCCCTTCTCCATAGCCCCATCCCCCACTCACTCCACCCCCAGCCCCAATCGCTCGCTCTCCCCCACCCTCACTCACCTGCTCATTTTCACCAGGCTGGGGCAAGGGATTGGGGGGCAGAAGAGGGGGAGGGCTCCAGGGTGGGGCAAGGGATTGGGGGGCAGAAGAGGGGGAGGGCTCCAGGGTGGGGCCAGAAATGAGGGGTTCAGGGTGCAGGAGGGGGCTCCAGACTGGGGTAGAGGGTTGGGAGGGGGTAAGGGCTTCGGGCTCTGGGGTGGGGCCGGGATGAGGGATTTGGAGTACAGGAGGGAGCGCCGGGCTGGGGGATGGGGCCAAGGGTTTTGGAGTGTGGAGGGACTGGGGTGTGGGAGAGAGTACAGGATCTAGCTGGGAGTGCGGGCTCCAGGGTGAGGCCAGATATGAGGGGTTAAGGGTGTATGAGATGGCTCCAGGCTGGGGGCGAGTGGTTCGGAGTGCAGGAGGGGGCTCAGGGCTGGGGCAGGGGTGCGGGCTTTGGGGAGAGTTTGGATGTGGTAGGGGGCTCAGGGCTGGGGCTGGGGGGTTGGGGTGCAGAAGGGGGTGAGGGCTCTGGGTGATGTTTACTTCAGGGGGCTCCCAGAAGCAGCCAGCATGTCTCTCCAGCTCCTAGGCAGAGGCACAGCCAGACGGCGCTGCACACTACCCCTCGCCCACAGGCATCGCCCCCGCAGCTCCCATTGGCTGCAGTTCCTGACCAGTAGGAGCTGCGGAGCCGGCACTCAGGGCAGGGGCAGCGCACAGAGCCCCCACGGCTGCCCCTACACCTAGGAGCCAGAGGGACATGCCAGCCACTTCCCGGGAGCCACAAGGAGCCGGGTAAGGGGCCTGCAAGTCCCATGCCAACTGGACTTTTAACAGCCCGGTCAGCAGTGCTGACCAGAGCCGGCAGGGTTCTTTTCAACTGGGTGTTCGAGTCGAAAACGGGACACCTGGCAACCCTAACCTACAGTGGAGGAGGTGCAGTGGAAACATCTTCTTACAGCACTTCTATTACCTACAGCTGCCACCAGGTTGCAGATGGGGTAGAGTAGCTCAAACTCACCCCCGTTGAAGCAGCCCTCAGGCTCCAGCAGAGAGAATAAATGAATGTTCCTCCTCCCTTCAGGACCAGAGGAGGTTCTTCAGATTTATCAGACACCTAATAGCCAGAGGCTATATGAAAAATGGCGCCTCCAATGAGGCTCCAGGGAGAGCACCCTTCCTGGCAAATTTACGAAGGCCTTGTCCATGGAGAGTGAGCTACTCTCCTCTTCCATATTTGTCAGACACTTACTAGCCAGAGGCAAATATTTCAAGATCTAATCTCCCTTATCAAGATAGGAATTCCAGCTTCTGTTATATGTGATTCCAGGTAATCTAGTGGCTCAGGCTCAGATCCTTCAATACCTTTGGGGAGCTGGGCCTCAATGACTTCATTATTATTGTTAAACATTTATACTGTAGTATTGCCTACAGGCCAACCAGGTCAGGGCCCTATTGTGCTAGGTGCTATACAGTCATATAGCCCTGGTCTACACTAGGACTTTAGGTCGAATTTAGCAGCGTTAAATCGATGTAAACCTGCACCCGTCCACACAATGAAGCCCTTTATTTCGACTTAAAGGGCTCTTAAAATCGATTTCCTTACTCCACCCCTGACAAGTGGATTAGCGCTTAAATCGACGTTGCCGGCTCGAATTTGGGGTACTGTGCACACAATTCGATGGTATTGGCCTCCGGGAGCTATCCCAGAGTGCTCCATTATGACCGCTCTGGACAGCACTCTCAACTCAGATGCACTGGCCAGGTAGATAGGAAAAGAACCGCGAACTTTTGAATCTCATTTCCTGTTTGGCCAGCGTGGCAAGCTGCAGGTGACCATGCAGAGCTCATCAGCACAGGTGACCATGATGGAGTCCCAGAATCGCAAAAGAGCTCCAGCATGGACCGAACGGGAGGTACGGGATCTGATCGCTGTTTGGGGAGAGGAATCCGTGCTATCAGAACTCCGTTCCAGTTTTCGAAATGCCAAAACCTTTGTCAAAATCTCCCAGGGCATGAAGGACAGAGGCCATAACAGGGACCCGAAGCAGTGCCGCGTGAAACTGAAGGAGCTGAGGCAAGCCTACCAGAAAACCAGAGAGGCGAACAGCCGCTCTGGGTCAGAGCCCCAAACATGCCGCTTCTATGATGAGCTGCATGCCATTTTAGGGGGTTCAGCCACCACTACCCCAGCCATGTTGTTTGACTCCTTCAATGGAGATGGAGGCAATACGGAAGCAGGTTTTGGGGACGAAGAAGATGATGATGAGGAGGAGGTTGTAGATAGCTCACAGCAAGCAAGCGGAGAAACCGGTTTTCCCGACAGCCAGGAACTGTTTCTCACCCTAGACCTGGAGCCAGTACCCCCCGAACCCACCCAAGGCTGCCTCCTGGACCCAGCAGGCGGAGAAGGGACCTCCGGTGAGTGTACCTTTTAAAATACTATACATGGTTTAAAAGCAAGCATGTGAAAGGATTACTTTGCCCTGGCATTTGCGGTTCTCCTAGATGTAGTCCTAAAGCCTTTGCAAAAGGTTTCTGGGGAGGGCAGCCTTATTGCGTCCTTCATGGTAGGACACTTTACCACTCCAGGCCAGTAACACGTACTCGGGAATCATTGTACAACAAAGCATTGCAGTGTATGTTTGCTGGCATTCAAACAACATCCGTTCTTTATCTCTCTGTGTTATCCTCAGGAGAGTGAGATATAATTCATGGTCACCTGGTTGAAATAGAGTGCTTTTCTTCAGGGGACACTCAGAGGAGCCCATTCCTGCTGGGCTGTTTGCCTGTGGCTAAACAGAAATGTTCCCCGCTGTTAGCCACAGGGAGGGGGGAAGGTTGAGGGGGTAGTCACGCGGTGGGAGGAGGCAAAATGCGACCTTGTAACGAAAGCACATGTGCTATGTATGTAATGTTAACAGCAAGGTTTACCCTGAAAGAGTGTAGCCACTGTTTTATAAAATGTGTCTTTTTAAATACCGCTGTCCCTTTTTTTTTTCTCCACCAGCTGCATGTGTTTCAATGATCACAGGATCTTCTCCTTCCCAGAGGCTAGTGAAGCTTAGAAAGAAAAAAAAACGCACTCGCGATGAAATGTTCTCCGAGCTCATGCTGTCCTCCCACACTGACAGAGCACAGACGAATGCGTGGAGGCAAATAATGTCAGAGTGCAGGAAAGCACAAAATGACTGGGAGGAGAGGTGGCGGGCTGAAGAGAGTAAGTGGCGGGCTGAAGAGAGTAAGTGGCGGGCTGAAGACAGGGCTCAAGCTCAAATGTGGCGGCAGCGTGATGAGAGGAGGCAGGATTCAATGCTGAGGCTGCTGCAGGACCAAACCAGTATGCTCCAGTGTATGGTTGAGCTGCAGCAAAGGCAGCTCGAGCACAGACTGCCACTGCTGCCCCTCTGTAACCAACCGCCCTCCTCCCCAAGTTCCATAGCCTCCACACCCAGACGCCCAAGAACGCGGTGGGGGGGCCTCCGGCCAACCAGCCACTCCACCACAGAGGATTGCCCCCAAAAAAGAAGGCTGTCATTCAATAAATTTTAAAGTTGTAAACTTTTAAAGTGCTGTGCTTAAAGTGCTGTGTGGCATTTTCCTTCCCTCCTCCACCACCCCTCCTGGGCTACCTTGGTAGTCATCCCCCTATTTGTGTGATGAATGAATAAAGAATGCATGAATGTGAAGCAACAATGACTTTATTGCCTCTGCAAGCGGTGATTGAAGGGAGGAGGGGCGGGTGGTTAGCTTAAAGGGAAGTAGAGTGAACCAAGGGGCGGGGGGTTTCATCAAGGAGAAACAAACAGAACTTTCACACCGTAGCCTGGCCAGTCATGAAACTGGTTTTCAAAGCTTCTCTGATGCGTACCGCGCCCTCCTGTGCTCTTCTAACCGCCCTGGTGTCTGGCTGCGCGTAACCAGCAGCCAGGCGATTTGCCTCAACCTCCCACCCCTCCATAAACGTCTCCCCCTTACTATCACAGATATTGTGGAGCACGCAACAAGCAGTAATAACAGTGGGAATATTGGTTTCGCTGAGGTCTAAGCGAGTCAGTAAACTGCGCCAGCGCGCCTTTAAACGTCCAAATGCACATTCTACCACCATTCTGCACTTGCTCAGCCTGTAGTTGAACAGCTCCTGACTACTGTCCAGGCTGCCTGTGTACGGCTTCATGAGCCATGGCATTAAGGGGTAGGCTGGGTCCCCAAAGATACATATAGGCATTTCAACATCCCCAACAGTTATTTTCTGGTCTGGGAATAAAGTCCCTTCCTGCAGCTTTTGAAACAGACCAGAGTTCCTGAAGATGCGAGCATCATGCACCTTTCCCGGCCATCCCACGTTGATGTTGGTGAAACGTCCCTTGTGATCCACCAGAGCTTGCAGCACTATCGAAAAGTACCCCTTGCGGTTTATGTACTCGGCGGCTTGGTGCTCCGGTGCCAATATAGGAATATGGGTTCCGTATATAGCCCCACCACAGTTAGGGAATCCCATTGCAGCAAAGCCATCCACTATGACCTGCACATTTCCCAGGGTCACTACCCTTGATATCAGCAGATCTTTGATTGCGTGGGCTACTTGCATCACAGCAGCCCCCACAGTAGGTTTGCCCACTCCAAATTGATTCCCAACTGACCGGTAGCTGTCTGGCGTTGCAAGCTTCCACAGGGCTATCGCCACTCGCTTCTCAACTGTGAGGGCTGCTCTCATCTTGGTATTCATGCACCTCAGGGCAGGGGAAAGCAAGTCACAAAGTTCCATGAAAGTGCCCTTACGCATGCGAAAGTTTCGCAGCCACTGGGAATCGTCCCAGACCTGCAACACTATGCGGTCCCACCAGTCTGTGCTTGTTTCCCGAGCCCAGAATCGGCATTCCACAGCATGAACCTGCCCCATTAGCACCATGATGCATGCATTGGCAGGGCCCATGCTTTCAGAGAAATCTGTGTCCATGTCCTGATCACTCACGTGACCGCGCTGACGTCACCTCCTCGCCCGGTATCGCTTTGCCAGGTTCTGGTGCTGCATATACTGCTGGATAATGCGTGTGGTGTTTAATGTGCTCCTAATTGCCAAAGTGAGCTGAGCGGCCTCCATGCTTGCCTTGGTATGGCGTCCGCACAGAAAAAAGGCGCGGAACGATTGTCTGCCGTTGCTCTGATGGAGGGAGGGGCGACTGACGACACGGCTTACAGGGTTGGCTTCAGGGAGCTAAAATCAACAAAGGGGGTGCCTGTACATCAAGGAGTATTTCAGGCAGGACTGCACGGAGGGTTCCAATAAGAAATGGTGCACCTAAGTTATCGTTCTTATTGGAACAAGGAGGTTAGCCTGGCCTCTGATTGATACATGGCTAGATTTACCTCGCTGCACCTTCTCTGTGAGTGACTGCAGTGTGATCTAGAGGAATGAGTCCCCTAGACAGGGGAGGAGGCAAATGAGTACAAAACAAATCTGGTCTATTTCTTGTTCTGAGCCACTCCATCTATCTTTTACATCTTTGGCTGGCAGCAGACAGTGCAGAAGGACTGCATGCCATCCACATCTCATGGCTGCTCGGCAGAAGATGGTACAGTACGACTGCTAGCCATCTTCATCTCTTGCCTGCCTGGCAGAAGATGGTACAATACGACTGCTAGCAATCCTCATCTCTTGCCTGCCTGGCAGAAGATGGTACAGTACGACTGCTAGCAGTCCGTATCGCCTGCCCGCTCACCATAAGACGGTTCAATAGGACTGACTGCAGGACTAAAGAGAATGACCTGGTCAAGTCACTCCAAATTTAGTCCCTGCACCCATGTCTGCCCAGCACCTCGGACACGACGAGGACGACTACCAGTCATATTGCACCGTCTGCTGCCAGAAGGCAATGGGTTGCTGCTACTGTGCAGCAAAGCCGTACCGTGTCTGCCAGCACCCAGGAGACATAGGGTGACGGTTACCTGAGCGGGCTCCATGCTTGCCGTGGTATGGCGTCTGCACAGGTAACTCAGGAAAAAAGGCGCGAAATGATTGTCTGCCCTTGCTTTCACGGAGGGAGGGAGGGAACGGGGGCCTGACGATATGTACCCAGAACCACCCGCGACAATGTTTTAGCCCCATCAGGCATTGGGATCTCAACCCAGAATTCCAATGGGCAGCGGAGACTGCGGGAACTGTGGGATAGCTACCCACAGTGCAACGCTCCGGAAGTCGACTCTAGCCTCGGTACTGTGGAAGCGCTCCGCCGAGTTAATGCACTTAGAGCATTTTCTGTGGGGACACACACACTCGAATATATAAAACCGATTTCTAAAAAACCGACTTCTATAAATTCGACCTTATTCCGTAGTGTAGACATACCCTAAGTAAATAGAGTTGCACCCATGGGCCTGAGGTGTTGCAAATGATGTTTGCTCTACTGAGCCACTTATAATTTTGCCTTTGTCTAAGCACCAGGAGAAAACGCTTAAGACAAAAAGTTACCCTTCTGATACTGTGTGACTAGAGTGTCAGACAAAACATCCCTGTGGTTTTTAAAAAAGCTAACAGTAATTAAAGACCAAATTAGAACAATGCAGAAAGATGATTCTCTTTTGTGGCTTTCCAGGGAATTCTAGTACTACTTGGCAGCCACACAACATTAAAAAAATCTACAGAAAAAGTTGCACTTAAAATTGTAATGGTGCTTGTGTTTAAAAAAGGTCCACAAAGTCTGTCAGATGGAGTGAGAGATTGTGCATGTTGCTGTGGGGCTGAATCATAGAATACTATTTATAACATCAACTGAAAAAACCATTAGCTCATAATGACCTCTACAAGGGGCCTCTAGACCTTGGACACTCATTCATGGTATCACAGAGCCAGACACAGAAGCTTTCAGTTTAAAACTCTGCTGAATTAACCTATACTATGTTAAGCAAGTGGTTGCCCAGTACAAAAAGTAATGAAAAGAAAATATCTGCTGAGCGAGCTCATTTATATGCGAGTAAAGACTGGACACCTTTTACTGTAACAGAATGGGTATATCTCACCCATATTTTACACAAATACTTCTCTTCACGCCTTCTTCCTCAGGTGAGATTGAACCAAGAGGAATGATTGGTTGGCTGCTACTCAAATTGTGGTTCCAACCACTAATCAAGCCCCATGCAGGCAGCCCTTGAAATGTTTTGAGTTTTTTGGGCTCTGGTAGGTACCAGCTTGACAGACTTTTAAGATACAGAAGTCCTCCATTTATTCACAGGAGATATACAGCACAAGCAGCAATAGTGCATGTCCCCAAACAGACCCACGGGAGTGCCTCAATCCCCATCTGCGGAGACCACCTCAAAGAGGACAATTCAGCCTTAGGCTCTTTCAGTGCTTAGCCTCTCTTCCACCAAGGAGAATTACAGTTATGGTTGTTTCTGATCTCTGAGATGTTTGCCTCAGAGAAGGTTTTCAAACTTTGGTTTGGGATACAGAGTGGAAAACAAGATTGATGGGATTCAATAAAGAAAAGGAAAATTTAGGCGATCAGGAAAAACTTCACAATGATGTAATTAGTTTTCTGATTAATCTCTCAAGGAAACAAGAAGCTCCAAAGCTTGGCACGTGCAACAGTTTGTTTACATGAGAAAGTTCACTGGCATAAGTGATGGCTGAATTTAAAACCAATATAGTTAAAACAGTGCAAAAGGCTGCGTAGTCACTCTTATTTTGGTTTAAGAATGGCTTGTTTTGGTTTACCTTAAATCCATTAAGTGAAACTGAAATATTCTGCTCTTAAATCACAATAAGTGTCCATCCAGGGGTCTTCAATGGTTTAACTAAATTGATGTAAAAGCCCACTCAAGTTATACTGGTACAACTTTCTTGGTTATACAAGTCCTAACACTACACTGAACAAAGTAGAAGAACATTTACTACAGATGGGACACATCAATTAATTTTATGTTTATATAGACAAGGGTTAATGTCAAGACAGTTCCGTATTGTTATATCTATGCTGTATCTTTAAAAGCAGACTGAGCTAGTTTCAATGGGCAACTGCAGCCAAGATGAATAAGTTGCCAAAGTAGGGTCATCAAAGCCAGCAGTAAAGTTAGACAGTCTTGGAGGAGGGGATATTTACTTGGGGTGGAAAGATAAAAAGGAGGAACAAAAATATAGGAGATGAAACTTTTTAGCCACAACACTTGAATAACATTTTGAATTTGGCTTTCTAGTGTGATAAGACGCTAGGATCAGCAAAGACGCCTGATATCTCCTTTATCTCCTGCTATATGTAATATATATAAAGAGGTATAGGATAAAGCACACCTGAAACCCAAAAAGAGTGTGTGTCTGACAGGCTGGGTTACTGAGACAGCTGGAGGAGAGAAAACACTCTTTAGAAATGTAAAGTATTTTTATTCACTGTAGCAAGCCCTAAGGGGAACCTGTCTAAAGAGCTATGCAATCTGACAGGATAAGTCTTCACTAGCAACATTGAAGAGCTGCCAGGGCACCAGTGTAGTGGCAGCACCAGGGCTGGGAGAGAGCCACCCCCACAAGGGGAGTAGCTCCCAGCGCTGGGAGCCAGGCTGGTGCACTGTCTACGCTGCCACTTTACAGCGCTGAAACTTGCAGTGCTCAGAAGGGTGGTTTTTTTACACCCCTGAGCGGGAAAGTTGCAGCGCTGTAAAATGGCAGTATAGACAAGGCCTCAGCCTAGGCACTTCAGCTGCCTTACACCATGTACAGTCATTGATTTACATCTATGCAGTGTGGGTCTAAAATGTTACCATTCTGACTGGCTAGTGTTCTAAACCCAGCGAGTGCCAGCGTTCATTATGACATCAGGTGCGAGACAGCTTGAATCGCCCCCACTTATGTATTTTTGCTGCTTTTCTCTCACCCGTTACTACCGCCTTGAAGAGATTAAAACAGACAAACAATTCT